CGCGTTGGGTACCGAGAATGTTAACCGACGAGCAAAAAAAGAAGCGAGTCGACATTTCGAGGGTGAATCTTCAAAAGTTCCAGGCCGATAAAGAATTTTTTTTGTCGCGTTTTGTGACCATGGATGAGACCTGGATCCACCACTTTGATCCCGAAACCAAACAACAATCAATGACTTGGAAACGAGCTTCCTCACCAACGCCGAAGAAATTCAAAGTGTCAAGTTCAGTGGGTTCTGTTTTCTGGGATGCAGAAGGAATTATTATGGTGGAATATTTGGAAAAGGGGGCCACTATAACAGGCTCTTACTACGCAGGCCAAATAAGAAGATTGCGAGAAGCTATTAAGTCAAAAGGACGCGGTAAACTGCGCGCTGGAGTGCTGTTTCACCAAGACAACGCCCCGGCTCACAAAGCCGCAGTTGCGATGGCTGCCATTGAAGAAACGGGGTTCGAACTGCTCGAACACCCTCCCTATTCGCCAGATCTAGCTCCCAGTGACTTCTACCTCTTTCCTCGGCTCAAAGAACACCTCCGGGGCAACAAATTTGAGGACAATAGTGAAGTGATGGCCGCAGTAGAGGCATTTTGGGAGGGTCAAGACAAAGAATTTTTTTCTAAGGGAATCATGGGCTTAGAAAAAAGATACACTAAATGTATTAACTTGCAAGGAGACTATGTTGAAAAATAAAATACTTTTTTTAATCTAATAGTTCTGTTTCATATTGATTATCATTACTTATTGATCACCCCTCGTATATTGTCTTGCTGAACTACTATAAACAAACATATTTGTTTATCTCTACAATATGATCAACAAATAATTTTCTAGCTCTAGTATGTTGATCGGCGCGCTGCCATTAGGTTAGTGTTAATTGAGTGTGATGGATCGAAGATTCAACTTACAAGATGCCGGCATTAAAATGTTTGGACTTGTTCTAAATTTTTGGGTATGTTCTCATCTTAATTTTTTTTACATTCTTTCTTAATTTTGGGGTTCTGTATATACATAAATAAACATATTTAAGAGTATGTACCTACTAACGTAACCCAGAACAACTCGAGGTCTGGTCTCATATAGATTTTTCAATTCATTTTTCAACTTTACAAGTGTTAGTTTACAGATGAATAAGAGCTAACAAATGTTTATTAAATTAATTTCGTCAACGACGAAAGGAAAAAGTTTACTTGATTAAATTTGAATAGAATATATTATTTGTGTGATCATCATAATTATGTTATTTAAGAATCTTAAGAATTAAAGCACTCAAGTCTCACGATTTTTACTATATAAATTTCAAATTATTACCGTATGGCTGACTAGCTGTAATCTTTGACAACAGCTGGTGTCAAAAATGCGATTCATGCCCTTCTTGCCTTCACGGATCTCAGGCGAACTTAAGTGATGAAATGTCCTGGCCTTGATAGGTATACTCCAACCGCTGTTTAATAAAAATAACGTTTATGTAATATGACGATATCCTACCCAATAACTAAGTCGGTAATGGATGGCAAATCAATTAGAGATCACGAACGAACGATGTATTATTATCGACGTACAGCAAATTCAATCACAAGGCGAATTTATCCTCATTATGATTAAATATACAGTATCAGAAGTATGCAGGGTGTTACCAAAAGGAGTATTCAGACCTTAATAACGTAAAAGTCTAATTATTTTAGGAAATATTGTGATATTTATATTATTAAAGAAACCTTGTATCGAATTGAATTGGAAAATTTACTAACAAAGATTTATTTTTAGTTTCGTAGAGGGTTGACATACATGAAAGTCTGGGTGTTTGAGACATAGATTGTGATGGGATGCCTTGATGTTTCTTAAATTTCTTATTAAAAAAATCAAATCCGTAAATGTGACACTGACACTGAAATTTGGTCTAAATCAACTATTTGTTGTAATAGACAACAACCTTTATAACCTTATAACCTATTAACTATTGTATAAATCTTTATAAATACGAATAAAGATAACGTACCAAAAGATACAATCATTGCTTAATTGAAAAACTAACAGTACTCTTCTCAGTAGCACTTTTGTTCGGGTCAATCAGACCGAGTCAGGTAGTTGAGTGGTCCAATTATCGCGTAGGCAGATTTAAATCGATGAGAGCCTTGATAGCTTGTAGGATTTCATCCAATTATATGTAGAAGGCTTTGTTGTTGGCTGTGTGAATGTGACGATTGATTGCTAAGTGTGCCAGGACCAATAAAAAAATAGCAGTTGTCGGTTTCGATTGTCTTTGGTTTTTTTTTATGCTAGTATCTGGGGGTACGGTAGTGCTCCCGTCAAGACGAGTCAAGCGAAACGCAAGGTCACTACTTTCCTGAGGCTACTGTCACATGGGCGTAAGGTGAAAAATGTATTTTGCCACCGTCACATGGGCGTAAGGTGAAAGAATTATGTTGTTCACATCACCCTTTAGTAATCTACTGCTAGACTTAGGCCTAGGGATAGGATTTGTATCAAGTTTTCCTTCTCTTTGCAGTGCTGTTGTCCTGCGTAGTTTACTCCCTTAGTCGGCTCTTACGATACCCATGGGATGAATGGGGGTGGCGACACTCCGTATTCTTAATCCGTCACCACACGGACATTTACTGTTCATGACTTTTCTATTATACTTATATACTGTAAGGAAACGGCCAAGTCACATATTTTGACTAAGGTGTAGAGTTTGTGAAGTTAGGACGTGTAGAGTTAGAAGCTTAGCTCGACATGAGATCTGATAACTTTTTGACAGTACCAGCCATATTGTCGTCTTTGCAACATTTTACATGAAAATGTTTTTAGTGGGATTTTTAATTTTAATAGGCATCAATAACATTAGGATGAAATGTAATAATTCATATGAATGTTTAGTATATGGATTTAATTAAGGACCAAATAATTACGGATTACATACTAACGAGCATGTGTTATTATATTAGAGACGTCGAACTTTCCGGTCCAACTGCTAGTCAGGTATCCGATCCTAACCTTACAAGTAATTGCTTATATGCCATAATCTATTCTTAAAAGTAATATCCCTTTCTATTATTTCTTGACCAGTTAAGAAACTGTTACTGTTGACTGCACGGATGGCGTAGTAGTTTAAGCGGTCGCCACAACGCTTACTGCTACGCTGAGTGTTGTGGATTCGATCCCAACATGGGACGACACTTTGTGTGATCCAAAAATTGTTGTTCTGAGTCTGGGCGTTCTTTGTGTCCGTTTCGTGTATGTTTGTAAAAGTCTCCAGCGACACAGGATATATTCCTAATGCGCAGTTGTCTTTTTTTTAAAGAATATATAATACCAGCAATCCGCCCCGGCTTCGCACGGGTGCAATGTAGATGCTGCTGCAACTAATGTAACTTTGAAATTCTCGGATTTTCTCAACGATGATATTCATTTATTATACATATAAACCTTCCTCTTCTATCAGTCCCTCTATTAGTGAAACCGCATCAAAAAGCGACTTTATACTATGTAAAGATATTTAAAATCTAAATGTCTGTTTCTAAATAGATTAAGTTTTTATAGTTTTGCTATCTTTATTTTGTAAAATATTTTATTAAGCTGCATATTTCATTATTAAAATTTATTGAACACAATATATTCTTGTTTTAGCATGTTCTTGAGATTGATCTTGAGACATCTTTTAATATTTAAACACATAATAAACATTTTTTTTTTCTCAATGACAGCATTAGAAATGTGTTTTCTTTTTACTTCGTTGGTGTAATAGTGTTACCACAAGAAATAATGGAACAGTTTTTTTTTTAATTTGTGTGTTTAATTTCAGTCAGATAGAAAAAGGGGTTCACTTTCTGATATAGTTGTTATTTAATTGAAAAAGCAGAACGTTCTCAGTTTTCAATCTTTCACTTGAGGTGTAAAATGTTACGAACAACTGTTTCGTGCCTTAATAGAAACATATTTTTAATCGTTTATTTAAACTGTTCACGTCAGTACGTCACTGCGTACGTTACTGTACTGAGGCAGTATTAAGGTCTGAGGCACTCACTGCTCGACAATTTTCGGGTGATGCAAAGAAAAGTAATTAGCCACATTGTAAACGCAAAAATTGCAAGGGATACAACAAAGTAAACAATTCCTTAACTTCGGCAAGAACACTAAAGTTAATAAAGAACAAAGTAATTATTAACTACACCTTACTTAAATATATGTAACACATCGTAAACTTAAATACACATAGACATACTTAGACATGTAGCATATAGAGCAAATCACACTTTGAAAGTAACAGTTAATATCGTTATTAAATTAATAACTGGTAGTAATTAAATTGAAAAACGTGTTTTCCAATGCACTTTCGTTGGCTTAACTGCACTTAAATATGCGCATTCTCGGAATACCACTATAAGATTGCAGGAACTTGTCAGGTTTTGTCTCGTTCTGTTCTGTTACTTGTCTCGTCATTGAGGAACACATGAAATCGAGAGTTAATAATAAAACAGTTGCAATACAAATGCAACTCCTAAATCGACGGCATAAGCGTCAATTTCAATTGTATCATAATTTGGTGCATTATAGAACTTGTATATCCACGTGCCATCGGTTGGTAAATTACTTTACTATACCAATATATTACCTACTTATGTTTCACCACTACCACGTTTCTTGCTGCAAATAAAAATAAATTTCTTAATTCAATACAAATCTAATACATAGACAACTCTACGACTTCATATTTACAAACTAACCTTTTTATTTTAATAGCATTCTTGGAAAGTAGTCCTCAATTTAGAGTCGTTTCACACTTTGTTTACAAAGTCAAAACAATTAACGAAAATTGTTTCGACAGCAATCAGTTCGGTCACCTACTTAAATCTAAATAAGCAAGTCATAAAATTCCGTGATCATAACATTCGTCACGTCCTTTACGTTTGATTAAACTGATCTATCATCTATTCGACCTTCATGTTCAGCCAACTGAAAACATTTAACTTCAATTCACTAATATTATTCTATTGTTCGCAGGTTCGACGATCTCTGAAATTGCGGGGCCGTCGCAAAGAAAAAGAGAAACTACCCTCAGGCATAACAGCTGACTACACAGCATCGTTGTTCGCTCATCTTGAACAAGACTCTAATTATTCCTCTTATCCACTCATACCTACCTCAGGATCTTTCTCTAATCTTAGCGATGAGAACAACCATCTTTCGCCTGGATACCCTGCAACCCACACCTGGAATAAGAAAGAAGGAGTTCTTCAGTCAGACAGCTCCGAAACATCTCTTAATTCATTGAACAACCCAAATAACGCTAATACCAGTCCTAGACAACCACCAAATCTACCTCCTATACCACCTCGTCCTCCAAAACGTGGAATACTGAAAGGTCCACGTCTAAGCAATACTAGTTCAAATTCCGTAGAGAACAATGTTCAAAGTACTGATACTGTTGATAACATTAACGGTCAGGATACTAATTTATTGGCCCGAAATACTCAAAAAAACGAGCTCATTTCATACGGTATTCCGCCTTCTAAAAGTACTTCTTCCAGTGATGATATGCAACATGTTCAGAATTTTACCAAAAAAGTTATTCATAGTCCTGTGGAAAATCAATACAAAAATTATAAAAATGGCTCTAACAACCCATCGATCACTACTCAGGATCTTGACGAGGCACCAAAGACTAACGGAAACAGCTATCTTGGCGTGACATCTACATCTCCAAGTGCTGATTCCTTAACTGATACGACAACTAATTCTTCTTTCGCTACTCCACCATTTTCTACCTCACCCGTTGGCGAGTCCCAAGGATTTCATAGATGGTCTCGAACTAGCAACTTCGACGATGTATATCTACCATTGCCACCTTTATCTCCTCTACAATTACCTAAGCCAAGAGTACTTACAATCCAAAGACAGAAAGCTCCAAGAAATGATTTTGGCTTCAGCCTTCGAAGAGCTATGATCCAAGAGAGAATTTTCATTGGAGACGTTAATGGCCATGATTCTGTCTTAGTGAATGGTGACAACAAGTGTAATAACCTAGGAACGATCACAAAACTGAATTACAAAGCTGTAATTTTAGCAGAACCAGGTACTTATCCAGGGGCCAGTGAGACTGGGCTTCTGCCTGGTGACAGGCTGATAGAAGTAAATGGTGTAAATGTAGAAGAGAAAAACAGGGAAGAAGTAATTGATCTTATTAAAGGGAGTCAGGATTCTGTCACTATAAAGGTAAGCCTTTCTTATGCGATAAAATTATAGTTGTACTATCTTGAAGCTTGCACTGCGCTTGCAGTGCCAGTTTCTTCGTAAATTTAAAGTTTGATTGAATATTAAAGCTACCAATATTTAATTCACAACGATTTAGTCACCATTTATGGAATCTAACACAAAGTTTATATTTTCATTCCGGCCATTTCAAATGATAAAAGCAAAATTAACACTATTTTGTTACGTGAGAACGATAATCATTCTCTAATCTTGACCGTCATAACGATTTATTAATTTATACACAATTTGACCAATATATGGACAATAAAATATTATAAATGCTCATTTTATTATGAAATATTTTAAATGTCAATGGCATTAAGATATCAGTTATTAAGAATTCAGAAACAAAAATACTCAGATGTCGTAATCGTTTAAGTAGGATTAGCGTGAACTACTAGTAAGTTCAACCTTAAATATTAGAATATAGATTGTAGTTTAGATTCTAGTGCAATTTACTTTATTCTTATTCTGCAACATTCTGTTTCGACACTGATACATTTTTGTTAATGTTTTAACGTATCATATTGTAAGTTTTATGTATTTCAAAGAACGTTATTAATATTACATACAATCGTAACACATTTAATTAATTAGGTTAATTTTGAATCCAGCAATAAGAATATTAAATTATCAATATACATAAGTTTCCAGTATTAAACGATTTCCAATAATAATAGAAGCTCTGGACTCTCCTTATTGCGATGGTATTTTATCAGAGAAACCATTTGTAAGTTCATTGTGTAGGTATACTCAACATTTCATTCAGATAATATTTAGGTCTGTGTAACAACGATGCCCGTCAGAAAGGTTGGATTATTAAGTTTCCTTTGCTTGATCTCTTTTATCTGGTATCTTATTTTCGATTCGATTCTCATTCTTATTTTTAATAACATAATCGCTTACTATTACTATTAATAGCACACAAAAAAGAATATATAATTTGAATTACAAAGTAGTACACAAAAAAAACAATTCTGAAATACAATTTGCTAATTATTTAAACCTAGAGCTTAAAAAGTGTCCATGAGTTTGTTGCTCGATTTCTTCGCACAAGGATCATGCATTTGGATATGCGCGGTTATAGATTGACACATGCAAAAAATATGTTATCTGTTTGCCATTTTCTGTTGCATTTCCACCTGTTTTTGCGGTGACTTCGAGTGTTAATCGATATCGATATTTTGAAAATCGATATTTTTTGTATCTTTTGAAGAACTTCCTTCCCGCTAAAACTAAAGTTTCGCTTATGCATTCCTTAATTATGCACTTGATCGACTATGGTGGTGTGTGTTATTTGACCTAAATGCAGTCCTTCTCACTAAACTAGGTCGCCTTCTCAATAACTGCATTCGATTCATTTTCAATCTTCGCAAGTATGACAACGTGTCTGCTTTACGTTCCCAGCTGCAATGGCTCCCAATTCGTCAGCGCCGCAGTTTGCGAGCACTGACTTTTCTCTGTTTTTTCTCAACTCTCCACCGTTACCTGAATACCTCGTACCCCACTTCCGTTTCATATGTCAATCACGACCGAAATCTTAGGTCAACAAACAATTTGCTTCTTCTATACCAACTCACACCTTAACTTCATCAAGTCCTCCTTCTACGTCCAGTTAGTTCTTCTCTGGAATGCGCTCCCTGCCGAAATCAGGATGTCCTCAAACCGTCTTGTATTCATCATGTAAAGTATGAGTATTTTTAGATTATATTAAATTTATGTATGTATGTTTATTTATGTATCTGTATTTATATATAATGTGTATATCTCTGGACTTCAATGATGCTAAATTTAATATTTTACACCTCACCTCACCTCATTTTACGCATCATATTTCTACACCACCTGAAGGTGGCCTGGGAAAGAGTGCCTCATGGCATTAAATCTGTCTTTGTACAACATGTGCATTAAGTTTTAAATAAATAAATAATTGCAGAAATCAAGCGTACTTTCGTGGCCCTCTTAATATCTGACCTAACTGTTATAACAGCAAAAAAATATTCACAGGTGCAACCCATAGCGGAACTCTGCGAGTTGTCGCGAAGGCGCGCAGCAGACGGTGGAGGAGACGTGGATCTCTCAGATAGCAACGTACGAGGCGGTACGCTTAGTAGATCCGGCAGCAGAAGGTTCACTACATCACAGGTAGGTGGGCAAAAGAATCTAGAGGCAATAAGCATTTTATTTTTTTTATTTGATGTCAAATTAAAGGTCTTTGTATAAAAGTAGAAACAATGCCCAGATTTTTCTTGAACTTTCGATTTTATGCTATTGTTGTGTTTACATAAAGAACCACAAAACTGAATACGTATTTAAAGTCACATACCACAACAGTAAATTTGGATAGAATAACTGCATGAGTTCGGAATTATTTAAAGCGTTTCATTTTTGAAGTATTTAAGGAAAAGTATGAACGAGATAATCATATTTATACAAGTATTTACTTTTTAACGGTGTTCGTATAAAACGAATAGTTATTATTTACAAGTTGGACTACTCAAGCAGCGCCAGTCCAAAATTGCAAAAATCACTTTCAAATGTTCCTACCAGTACGACTTGGATATAACGCAATTGAGCTTTATCAGTTGGTTGGTTGGATTAATTTTTAAGTGATAAAAAACAATAACATTTTCTTAATCTGAAAACGCATGTATTATTGCTTCCAAATGTCAAGGTCTTTTGTTTTTTTTGGAACTTTGTGACCCTCCCACTGCTTTATGTCACGCTCAAATCGTCAGATTTTTTAAAATGTACTAATGTGTATGTAATTGACTCTACTTAGCTTAATCTTACACACTCGAGTATTTCTGTGTACCGATATTTTTTTAACTAATCTGATAGGCTGCTCTAGACGCTCCCCCTTATATGCCGGGTTCATTTATGGAGGTACTCAACTGGGTGTAAGGTATTCCTCTTTATGTTAATCTGCCACGCTTCAACCCTGCTCGTTATCAGATCACATTAACTGTAGTCATCTCTTAAGCGGATTCATCCACTAGGCCTGTTATGCAGTTCCAATTCAGCAGGGCTGCGTTGAAAATATAAATGAATCCTTTTTTGTTATAACTATACCACTGGAATGACCTTTATGTAAATATACTTACACCTGCTGACTTTCACTGCGCACCAATTTGCGATACGCTAACAAGTTCTGTTCAATTTTTACAATCGTGTTGCAATTGCAACCTTGCTGAGTGGAGCGGAAGAGAGTGGAGTAGTAGCAGGTATAGCTGGCCATAATATTACTTATTCTTCAAGGTACTCTATGCAGGGCTTCGTTTTAGACCATTTAGTTAGCTTACTCAAAAAGGTATTAAGCAATTGTTTTGTGTTAAGAGTCATTCTCATAGTTCCTGTCACTATTTTTTATATTTAGAACATAATCATTCTAAATATTAAAAAAATCTTTTTATAATTGGCTTTTATTTAAGCCATGTAATAAAATGATAAAATAAGTCAAGGTTATGATGAATCAAAATCAAAAACAAGCAATCTCTCAAACCTACTTCAGTTTAAATAGATTGATGGTTATGTAATTACATGCCGACGGATGTATTTTCTTTATAAATTGCGATTGAATTCGGATACAAAAAAAAATAGTGAGCCTTACAATACTAGTATTATATTATCTGTAACATCTGACATCTAACCTATCATTGACTTGACAGATCTAGCATTTGGCGCGCTTATTGGGTAAATAATAAAAAAAGTTAATCCTAATTGTGAAACAGTAAAATATTTCATAACACCTTGCGCATTTTCTGGAAATGCGAATAACTTTAATATGTTAAAACTAATATAATAACATACTTAATACACATTCATTTAATAGTATTGATAAATAGCTTATTAAGTTAACTAATTAATTTGGAGCTATCACATATGGGCCGGTTCGACTGGTTTGATACATGGGTCTCACAGAAACCGGTGTTAAGCTATTCTTTCGGTGTTTTAGAGGTTAGGCCCCTATTTCTGAGGGTAAGTGGCATTCAAAGGTCGGCCATGTAATTGCCTCTATTTTAACTGTAGCTTTTTTATGTTTTTTTCTAAATAGGTAGGTGGTGTACGGTATAAATTAAAAAGTTTAATTGCGTAATATCTGGCGACGAAACAATGTTATTAATTGATACTTCCTTATCATTGTTTGATAATCTATATACATGCCTGGCAAAGACCTTTTTGAACAGATCACAAGATCCTTGTGTTCTGTTCACGATGTGTAGGTGTTGACATACTAATTAAAAACAAAAACACGACCAGTTAATTAAAACGTGATGTCACATGATAAGATTTATGAGTTTGTGTCCGAATGCACATTGTTCTATACATTTTTTTATTTCAATTGGATTTAAAATTGGAATTACATGGACGCTTTCAGTGGTTTGATTTTGGTCAGCTGTGACAGTTCACAGCTGACCAAAATTTTCAAAAACATTTTCTCAGTCAGTACTGAGAAAATGTTTTCATTCAAGACTAACGCTATCTATCGAGAAGTTGCAGATCTTTAAATGTAACTTTCTTTTCTTTCGTGCTTCTGTTAGCTGTGAAACAAAATAAAATCGCACTACAAGCTCATCAGAAATCGGGCCAAACCTCCATTGTTGACCTTCCTACATATGTTTTCACATAATTATAAACCGGCTAAACATACTTTTTCTCGTCGTTGGATTTGAGATCGACACAAATATAAAAATAATGCAGCAGAGCTGTTCATAGATTTAAAAAGAAAATAATATCTTTTTATATATCAGTACATGTTGTTTACATTTACTGATATAAATAAATTTATCCTTTTCAAAGGCAGGCAACGTGCTTCTGAGTTGCAGGCGTTCATGAGCGGCGCCAGTCGCTTGCCATTAGGGCAGGAGCCCCTCCTGCCGCTCTTCCATAAAAAAAATGTTTTTAACGAATAGTGAATGATATAGCTAACAAACAGATTTTATACGACCGGTTTTGATTAAATGGTAACTAATTATTCAAAACTTAAGTTACAGTTTCAGTCATTCACTTTGAAATATGAAAGTCGGAGCAATGTGTAAGCTACGCACTTAAAACTATAACGTTAGAATATAAAAAAAACAATAATGTAGCTTAATGAAATTATTGGCATAAATGTACAATTATTATTAATTATATTATATTATTATTTTTTATAATGTAATCATTATAAAAAATAAAATTAGTGGATTTTTCGGCACTTAAATTTATCTTTTATTGACTTTTTCTCCAAAATCAAAACTGTGATTAGTTTTGTTGTTATTATATCACAGTCGTGTTCTTTGTTTCATTTAATAATATATCGTAATATAAATGTTCTGTGCAATGTATGTTATGTATAGATATCACGATGCATGCCAAAACAATTAGTTGAGTGCGTTGAGCACGAAATGACATGATTTAGAATTGGTTTCCACTAACCTACATTTTGTAATCATAGTTTTTCTGAGTACCGTGATCTTCGTCGTGAATTAACGGTTATTGTGCAATACTTAATAGTAGTATCCAAAAATAGAACGAGATTATGTTTTTTGTTGGTAATTCTGAGCTGGGACCTAAACGCTAATAGTGAGTATTTGATTAGCGTAGTTTAAAGACAGTTTTGAATACGAGCATCGAGATCGTGTTAAGCATATCTTTCCATTATCAGACCGAAGTAAGTGCGTCAAACGATATTAGAAAGTAGAAATGATCCAGATATCTTTCAGTAGATAGAGTGTATTAATTAAACAAGTTAACAGAAGTCAAAGACTACAATAGGGAAAGCTACTCAAAAGAAAGGAAAGTTATTATTATTTTTCTGCCTCATTACCAAACTGTTTTGGGTTCGGTGCAATGTCTGTCTTTGCCAAAGGCTTGGGTTGGTTTCTTTAATGAAATGATATTTATTTCTGCCAGTAAATCTTTTCAGATATTTTTACAAGTCGGACTTTACAGCTAGAAGGCGCCGGCATTTCCTAAGACTCACTCTGGGAATAAACGCCGAAACAATCCACTGAGTTGTCTTTTTTTAAGTCTGAGTACAATGTTAAAGAGAACTATGTGATTGCAGTTTAGGGTCTGGGTTGGCCTTTTAAAGAGAGGACCATGGGCGACCGCAATATTTTATATTTTTTTTAGCATTTCTCTCTACTGCTCAAAACTAATGAGACTCAAGCATGAAATTGAGAAAAGGGCCCGTAATTGATCAACAGAAAAGGAGTGGTCATCATGATAATGCCAGACCACACTCAGCAAAAATTGATAGAGCTTAGTTGGCAAGTCTTAATGGGCCCACCATATAGTCCTGACATTGCCACTCCAGATTTTCACCTGCTTCGGTCTCTTTAGAATTCTTTGGTAGTGTTATGTTAGGTGTCTAAACTACATGTCGCATTTACTTGATCAAAAATCCCAAGGTTTCTACAGTAACAGTATTAGGTCACTACTTACAAAATGGCAACAAGAAAAAATGACACATACAGGTATATCATAATTTAAGTTTGAAAAAATTTACCTGAATTTTTATTTTAAATACGAATAAATTTATTTACCCCTGGCCATAAGGACAATAATTTTATATCCGACTGCGCCAGAAAGGTTATGTTTTTCTTGTTTATGTTTTAAACATGAAATATGTATATGTACATAAAAAGTAAACAAATATCGCCTGTATATGTTGTATTATTTTGTGTTGTCATGCAATATCGGGAAGTGTAGCGGTTTTGCGGTTCACTCTTTACAGTTACGTCATCAATGTCATAATGTGTGTCAGTACAATATTTCTAAGCGGTTGGCGCTGTGATATCGGTTAGGGACATTAGTTTAACACGCAGTTCTGTCGGCGCAGTTGTTCAAGTATTTTAATTGTACATTTTTTAATAAAATGTTCTATGTATCTGACTATTACTGATTCTGACTGCTATGCCAGAGGTCGTGGATTCGATTTCCACCCAGAATAAATAATTGTGAGATGATTACGATCCATCTGTTCATAAATATATAAGTTTATGTATTAGCAGTCTGGTTACGATAGCTTTACTTTACCTAGTTTGGGTTCAAATGACCGTTTAAAACCTGTGTCAAGCTATGTAGGCACCTGACCTTCTTTTATTTTGATACATATCTACTATCTTTGAACTAAGGCGACGGTGTAAGCTAGCGGTGGAGTCAAATCTATGCTTGGACGAAGTCATAAATTATTTTTATTGCAATTTAATGAATCGAAGATCCTTAAAAGATAATTATCCCCAGTTCACCAAAACGAACCTTGATGAACTTGTATGATCGCTGAACTTATTGAGAGACTATCGATAGGGATTAGTTATCCACCACGCCACCCATGCGCAACTTGATAGTTATTGTATGGTATATATGCAAGTTTATGATATTTTCAATCTTGCTGAGATGAGGGGGAGGGGTAGACAGTCAAGGGCCCCAATGCATTCACATATATCATGGTTTTTGTGTTTTATGACTACCAAGTCCACTACTTAGTCCAAAATTAAGTTACATATTGAACCAGTTATATAAAAAAACATTGATACCTAGATTATTTGCATTGTTTAAGAGAGTAACAATCAATAAACTTTTGCTGTGGATGAAATCATTTCGTCATGAATTAATATAAACTAACTTGTTAACAGATTCGTTTTAGGCGAACGATTGTCAACGAACACGTATGACGTAAACTCAGTTGACAAATGCATTCATAAAATCAAGATACAAGTATTGTCATCACTCGTCGTCATTCTTCATTATCTACACAAGTGAGGAGCATATTAAACGGTTCACTCGAGTTTAATTTTTCAATTGTCAAATAACTTCCACTGACGATTAGAATCAGAATCTTTTTCAGAAAAGGCTCTTGGAAAGGCCTCTCCATAGAAAGGAGATTTTGCTATACCGCGACTGTACTGGCCAAACGGGTTGCTATAGGGTTTATGTCAAGTTTTCCTTCTCTTTGCAGTGCTGTTATTTTGCAGAGTTTTCTCCTATTGTCGGCTCTTACCACTCTCTTACGAGATGAATGGGGATGGCGACACACCGTATTCTTAATCTGTCACCATATGGTAGCTAACGGGCTCTGATTTCCAACTTTCCTTAACTTTTATCCGAGTAAAATATACTTATAACATTCTTTTTTGAACACCTGACAAAGTGTATCATACAAAATATCATGAACAGCTGAGTAGTTAAGCTAAGTAGATAAGTAGGAAAGCTTAATAAACAAATAAAGCTCACACCCACTTATAATATTAAATAAAATTATGTATATATAGTATATATTTCATAAGTTAAGACTTTATTTAGTGATCAAACTGCCACATACCCACATACACCAGCTTAAAATATTTCAACTCCTTCCATAGTTTGCCTGGAATAAATTGCTGCAAGCGATAAGATCGCCCTTTGTAAATTATTTTTCCTATACCCACAATTAAAACTTTATAATGTCTGTAAAAACCCTGGTATAGAAATAAAGTATTTTTGATCTATCTAGAATATTAAATTAAATGACGTAAGTAGGGTTTTTTTACAGACGTATAACAGTTACGCCTATTACAATAATACCGTTATATTTCCAAAAACCTAAATAATCTTAACAAATATGCCCTTCGGTGTGTAATGGTAATCTCAGGACCCCACGCTAGGTTGGTGCTATACAATGAGTCATGTGTGTAAGGGTGAGTTGATTGAATTGAGTTCTGGGGGTCATTTCGTCTTATTTGAGATAATTTAAGTATAGTGGACCACGATGCCATAGGTTAGTTATAGTCCACAATATTGATTTTTCATTATTGTCAGAGACAGGGTTGCCAACAAATGTCACAAAAAAATGAAGAGACTATTTTTTTCTATTTTTCATTTTGTAATAAATTTTATACTAAGATTTTATACGAAGACGAAAAGGTATTGAAATTACACTACATAGCCAAAATTGTTTTCCAGGCATATATATATTTATTATGAAATCCATTCCAAATCCGAGCCTCCGTTCTTCTATCTAACTCATTCGTTTATTTTTTTTATCAAACTCAAACTCTCTGTATTTCATTTTTTTTTTAATTTTTTGAAATCGTCTTTTATGTAGACTCTAAAGTCATAGATTAACACACAAAAGCAATCTCTGTTTTGTCAAATAGTAAGCAAATAAATTTTAATCCCATACAAAATCTATGATATGCCTCTGCAGGAGGAGGACTAAAAGGAAAAAAAACAATGAAGAGAAAACAAGATTAGAAAAAAAAACGAATAAAAGAGAAAATGAAGTGAACATAAAAAATTGAAAAAATAATAATAATAAAAAACACACACTAGCCACACTACATTTTTACTTAAGAAAGAAATGCCTGCGCTAATTAATCCCAAGCATTCTTGTCTTCTATGTAATCCACAATTGAGTAGTAGGCCCTCTGGCACAAGCCACGTTTTATTGCGGATTTAAATTTGTTAATACTTAACTCTTGAATATTATTTGGGATTTTATTATAAAATCGGACACATTAACCTCGAAAAGACTTGTTTATCTTTTTGAGCCTAGAGGCAATCGATTATTTTTTTTGATACACTGAATTGTCATCAAATATTAGAGATCAACTCATTTTCGACCTTCTCAAGTTATACAAAACGTGATTTCCTTACGCACATTTCTTATGTTTTCACGATTTTCTTTCTCTCTACATTATCCGGTATAAAACGAGGCACGCAGTTAAATTTGTACTAAAAACAATCGCTATAAATAGCTTTTTAACCGACTTCAAAAAGGAGGAAGTCGTCAATTATATATATTTTTATGTATGTTCGGGCATAACTCCGTAATTTATGGACTGATTTGCGAAATTCTTTTTTGTTTGAAAGGGGTTTTTTTCCGAAATGGCCCATTTTAATTTCATATAGATCTGATGATGAGTGTTAGAGACAGAGAACGGCATTCTTAAAAAAATACGGCAAATGAACCGCGATTGCTACTAGGTTTTTAGTGCTCTTTGTTGGTATTGTTTGAAGTCGATTCAACTTTATAAAAAGGATTTATCTTGTTCATTTAAACTTTTGGACTTTACCCATTTGTTGTGTTGTTTTTGGACTACTCTTTCCCACAGGCCCACTACTACACTCCCTACTCCTCCTGATGAATCAGTCAGTCAACGAGAGAAAGTAATTTTTTTATGTATAGATTTACAACTACACTATTCTGGATCTCCCCGTTAATTTATCGTGCATTCAATGCAGCTACTCAGTGGGGAGGCCTTCATTCACTGTACCTAGGGTACTTTACACAGCTTTGATATCCCTGTGAGAGGCATATAGATCTACATTATTCTACATAAAGAGTTCTGCACCCTCTATTGTTGAGACCTAGCTGTCTCAACAATATAGGGTGCAGAACTCTATATATCTATTGCCCGTGGCTTCGCTTGCGTGATTATTTCGTGTTTCTGACTTTGAAAATGTTGAACTTTCATGCAACCGTTCATCCCTTATTTTACCTCCTAAGGGGTAAAATTTCCGAAACTCGGTGATGGTTACTTTCCATCAGGTGACCCATCTGCTCATCTGCCCCGATGCAGAATTGCAGGTCAAAAAATGTAGTCGCTTTTACATATTTTTGAACTATACCTATAATAGCACTATATTATATGTCTTGAAATTTAGCTTTCCGAAATGCTTCTACTTACAAACTTTGCGTATTCAAAATGTTATGAGCAAATCATTCTCGTATTAACATAAAGATTACAGTTAGAATATATTCCTAATGCGGGAGTTGTCTTTTTAAAAAAAAAAAAAAATATGGTCAGAATAATTTATAAGTTAAATAAGAGAAACATGTTTTAATACGTGACAGCAAACGAGTGACCCTTGTCGTCTGTTCAACTACTGGCGGTTCTTCAAAAGTACTCCACTGCACCACTTCAACTTTGAATGCGGCGTGAAATTGTAGCTAAAACTGAAAATTCGTTCATTAAACCTGCAGAGATCGGCGACCTACGCTGGCGTGTCTAGACAGCGTATATACCTACTCTAGCTTCATAGTAAAACTTGCATAGTTCAATAAGCTTTTATACTCGTAGTATGTACAGGCATAAAATAATATTTATTACCATGTTACTGTGAATAAAGGATATGCCTACCAGTAATGGATGGTCTGAATATAATGGATGCATGCTTTAGATTTTAGTAAATAATGTAACAACTACAGGCTGTTCGTTAAATAAATAAATAGCGATATTACATAATATGTACTATACTATACTAAACTCTAGCTGCAAAGTTTGTTTGTTTGGTTGAATGCGCTAATCTCAGGAACTACTGGTTTGAATTGAAAAATTATTTTAGTGTTGGATAGCCCATTTCTTGAGAAAGGCTATATAATATAACATGACGCCACGACCTATAGGAACATTGAATAATGTTGCAAAAACGGAGCAAATTTATTCCTTTTGAGAGACGCAGACAAAGTTGGGCAGGTCAGCTAATGTAGTACTTACATACGTATGGAATGAAGACGATATATTCGTCTTCATTCTATACGTATGTGTTCGGTAAACGCAGTGCAGGAGGCCCACAGGCCAGGTGGAATGACGATTTGCGTAAGATGGCTGGCTGGAGCTGGATGCGAGAAACCGAAAACCGATCAAAGTGGCGTGCCATGGGAGAGGCCTATGTCCAGCAGTGGACTGCGATAAGCTTATATGATGTGTGCAATTTGATGTGTGCAATTGTTTGTTAATGAACTTCCATGTTCAGGCGAAGTATAGCGTAAATGTTGTTTTGACGGGACATCAGATATTAAAAGCCCAAAAAAAAATTGAGGCTACCTATTTTTAAGCGACTTAAAAAGGTTATCTAGCTAGCTAGGTAAAAAGGATTTACCTTGTTATAATCACTTTTTAAAACTCTCCATTTTGATACCTCACTCGGTATCTAGATAATGTAACCATTAACATCATGATCTACACTAAAATACCCTTTTAATTAAGTTTTTAAACGGGCACTAGGAACACATTATTAGCATTCACAAAATTTAATTCTAACTCATGTTACGAGTGCGTTCACGTTATAAAATTTAGTTGGAAAGGGAGCGAACCCCTAACCTCAATAACAAGTCTGGAAATATAAAGCTTCGTACACGTTATGTAGGTACTATACTAGAATTTTGTATACATATAATCCGACCGTTTACACGAACTACAGTACCAACACAATGGTTTATGCGAAACTACGAGTAAAACTACACGATGCAACGTTTTCATAAACAATACCTACCTCCGTTATTGTACCATTCACTATTCAGGCGTATGAATGAGAAATACGTTGTCTATGGTACTGTAGACGACTGTTTTCTTTTATACCACATGTTATTAGAAGGACCGAAACGAGTAATCTACCTTAATATCAAGTTTAATTTTAATCTTTTATTATACTAATACGGTACGATAGTAGTAAGAATACGGAATGTCACTACCCCAATTCATCCCGTGGGTGTCGTAAGAGTCGACTAAGGGCGCAAAACAACGCAGGATACCAGCACTGCAAAAAGAAGGAAAACTTGACACAAACCCTTTTTGACCGTCACCCCACCGGGGTTTGCGGCGGGGTGGTGTGTCGGACTCGGACCGACTAAAACCACACGGTGTGCCACTCTGCGCCTGTAACAGGAGGGATCCGGGAACAGCTGTTGTTAAGACATCCGGACCCCTCCTAGCGCCAGCCCGCTCCTGGTGCGGGCTCCGTCTCAAAATTCTACTCTCTTTAGGCGACGTCCGGCACACGCGGACGCCGCCCCCTCGCGGCTGGCCAAACTAATGCGGGTGGAGGGGAAACCCACCCCGTCCACCCGCGGCCACACTCAGGGCGGCATGAGGCGGTGATAGGCGCGCCTCCGCCGCCCGGTTCGCCGGCGGCGGATCGGGTCCGAGTGGAGGTCGTCCTCCCGGGCCTTCTCCGCCGCCTCCTTCTGCGAGATTACTTCCTCGCAGAAGGTTGCGACCGCGGTAAAACAACTGTCGCTACCGGCCATGGAGCGTACTACGGCCGGTAGCGAGAGATCCACTCCGATGTTGACGTTAGTGTGTAGTTAGTTAGTTAGTGTTGGTGGTATAGTAGGCCAGAACCTCCTCTCTAAGGAGAGGCCTATGTCCAGCAGTGGACTATAAAAGGCTGTTGATGTGATTATACTAATATAATAAAGTTTTTTTTTCAAACAAAATATTCTTTTTTGTTTCATTAAACACGCTAATCTTTATATCTATCTGTCAGATTTGAATAAATAATTATTGTTGTATCAAGTATTCGAGGAAGGTTTCAGGCTATGTTCACGCTACGACCCTAACATGCGAGGCAATTAGCAGGAGAGGGTGAAAACAGGGCACGGCTAGTGTTATTAACAAATGGTAAAAATCTTGTGATCCAAATACACTACTGCATGTATGTATGTTAACAGTATACATATAAGTACCTAATAGTTTTATTATGAAAATTTATACGTTTTATAAATCGCCAGAAAAAAAAAACATATTTTTTAGAAATGACTCATAGCTCTAGAACAAAAAAATGAAGTAAATAAATAAAATATTATTTCTTTTATTTTTACGTGAAGAAGCATGTAGGTACTTGGTATCACTTGTGACTCTCAGTTGCAGGTGTCCATCGTTTGCCCTTCTATATCATAAAAAAATATTAATACTAAAATATATAAACTTCCGTCTCCTAATTGTGTTCGTTATATCCCAGTAACACGTACAATTGGGGTTGCTAAAACGCTAATGCAGATAATAAATAAAAATAATAATAAATTTTATTCTTATAATAACTTTATTTATCAATAAACAAGATCAGTAATACCATATCTGTTTAATAAATCATTTTTAAAACAATCTTGTTCATATTTTAAGAACTAATATTCTACTCGCTACAAGTCTTTGTCACAAGTAAAATTCATTAACTTTTACATAATTCAATTCTTGAATGTGATAATGAGAACCATTTTTGGGGCCAGTAATTGCCACAAATAAATTCACTAACAATCTCTCATTTTCACTTAGAATTATACTGCAATGTTATTGCAAACTCGCACCCCTTATAGATGAAGATAGAAAGATCATTTCTTTACTACCAAAGAAATCACATACTTCATTTGAAAGGCGTTCCTCCTCCTTGTCATAAAAGGCACTAAAGTACCTGCTATCTTTTTAGACGGCTGCTTTTGCCACATTAAAAAAAAAAACATCGCACCAGGTTTTAGGATTGGCGGCAAAAATAACAACTAGTATTCCCTGATACAAAATTATTGTTTTCGTTATATCTTAACCTCAGATCATGCCATTTGTATGATCTAAGATATTGACAGTTGTAGGAACTGCAGAAAATAAATGTCGAAAAAAAATATCTAAATAGATATATAGATAATCTGATGACTTAAATTAATAATTTATCATGTTAGTTTTCCAATAATTTGTTAGGTCGCTAAATATGGAATAATTGATACTTTTACCTAGTAGTAATAATAAATTTATTTCAGTGTAGTAATATATAATATACTATTACTGTTTATTATTGTTTTATCCCAATTAAACAAGAAAAAATATGTTATAAGACTTTTGAAATTATGTTGACACAATATTAAATTTGTATTGTACATGTTATGATACATAACGAGATCCTTATTGTAGCCTCATTAATATTAACAAAACATAATTTTTAGTCCTGTGTCGGATACTACCTGTGGTAATAATCTGACCAATTCTTGCTTTCTAACATTGTCTGTTTCACACTTATTTGGGTCAAACCTTAAGAGTTGACCCTTTTTATAAATTTAGAACAATTCAAAATTATTGCTGTTATTTACTGTGTAAATAAATAAGGTCTAGTTTAAGAAATATACAATAAAGAGATAAATAAATAAATATATAATCTTAAAGTTTGTATCCACTATATTTCAGAAGTTCAAATTCTTATCAAAGCTTTGCATTTCATATTTAGCAATTACATTACACACTTCCATCTTCACTTTAGGTATTAAATTAGGTTGTAATTTCTTGACACTAGCTGCCATACTTCTGAAAAATACATCAATTTCATTGGTATTTTCTTTTAAGATCTTTTCAATCAGTTTATCAATAGTTTTCGATCTTTGTTCTGGCATTTTTTGATCTTCAACGTACTGTACTATTTTGGGACCATTCACTAGTATCGGTTTTGGTAGTATTTTTATTGGCGGTATATTTTTTGGCACTGGAATTGTCTTCTTCCGGCCTGAATTTTTTCTGCTAATTTTTTTTGGGGGCTCATTATTGGCTTCTAATTTTGGCACTAACTTGATGAAGGGCTGCAGAGGTTCTTGAGGCGCATCAACCACAGTGATCTGAAAATTATAATTGTAATATTTAAGTAGTGAAATCACAAAATACTTAATCAAAGTTACTTAGTTTAAACAAGAGTTAAAAGAAATCACTTCACAAATAATCACAGGAATTAAATCATCATAATCATCATCATCACCAACATATAGTTTACTGCTGGACATAGGCCTCTTCTTAGGCAGGAGGTTTCGGCCTACTATACCACACTGGCCAGATGGATTGGTGTAGGGTTTGTTTCAAGTTTTCCTTCTCTTTGCAGTGAGTGAGAGCAAACTTCACAGGACAACAATATTTTGTTGTCCTGTGAAGTTAGCTCTTACGACAACCACTGGATGAACAGGGGTGGTGACACTCCATATTCTTAATCCATCACCACACATTATAGGTGGTATTTTAAATGTTGGGCCATTGCCAGGTGTATAAATTATCTTATTACATGAAATCAGGCTACGGTTACTGCTATTGGTTTTTTTTTTTAGAGAAAAACCATTTCTCATCATGTCTATGGTCTATATAAGTAAAAACCAGATACTGACCTCATAATACTCTTGATTGTCAGTAATGACATGCTGCTCAGTATCAAATTTAGTTGCTTCTTGTGACATTTCCTCCATAGTGGTTTCTGCCACTGAATTATCTTCAGTACCATCCAAGGAGGTTCCATCTAAGAACTGGAGTTTCTCAAAAATGCCCACTTTTGTTTTGTGCATGGTGCCAACACGCTTGCTCCTCATATAGCCATCACGGAGGCCTCTCCAGCGCTTCTTGCATTCTTCAACTAGAATCAGTTAAAGTTGGATTGTTAAATTTATTTTTAAGAAAATAAGTTCTGCCCCTAATATTTTATATATTGCAAACATAGGTGGTATTTTATATAAATTTAACACAGTTACTTTTGGTACATTTTCTAAGTAGTAAGTAGGTTAGTATGTTTATGATTCATATTATTGTTTCATTTCGTTATTACATAAATTATGCAATTCATCATATATCTTTAAATATTTGCTCATTATGAGTAATTTGTTAGCAAAAAGTAGGATTGTTTTACATGAATTTACCTAATTTACTGTCCCTACATATTGTGCATAGCTATTTTTAATATGGCGTTGACTGGGTAACCCCAATTACTAAATTTCATTATCAGTTAGTAGATAGGGACAAGTAACCAATTGGATATAAGGTCAAATTACGGCTTTCATTGGTTGTGTTTGTGTTAACGAATGACAACAATAAACAGCTGATTTTAAATCCGGTGTCTAAAAATACTATCTATTGTGCAATGCATTTGTACGGAATGAATGAGCAGGCACACCCAAAAATAAATGGTTTTACGTTACTATATTAGATTCTAATAACGCCATGAATAGCAGATGTTGAATGTTTAATTATTTACGGTATTCAATTAAATACCAATTCGGTCCTGCAGTTGTCGATTGCAGCACAACAATTCACTCAAAATGCACTGAATGGTCCGAGTCTCACCTGGTTTCGATAATTGCTGTGCTATTTCTTGCCATGTAGATTCCCTCGCTAATATATTTTTCCTCGAAGGATCCAGGACATTGTACAAATAGGAATGTGGTTCCACTAACTCGGCAAGCTTCTCGTCTTCCTCCGTTGACCATCCAACGGCGTTCAGAGGCATCTCCAACCGTCGGTTTTCGCCTGCGTCACAATGTCAAAACAAAATGTCCGCTGCCTATCAGGAACGAAAATAACCGCGCTGCGCAGCACGACGTCACAACTGAACGACGTTTCTCTTTTGTTTGCATGTTCCATCGTTTTCATTGGATGTTGGAGTAGCTCACAAACAACTTGAAGCGCTCGTAGCGCCATCTAGCATCAGATAGCTACATTGCCTGAGCTTGACATTTATGTCTGTACTTGCTAGTTTTTGACGAGATGTACTAGATGGCGTTAACATATAAAAAGATTAGGGTATGTAAACAATCTTCAACATTTTTTATTAAAAGAAGTCCTTACATTTATATTACACTTACGCCTCAATTCCATCCAGGGTAGATAGAGCAGATAGAACGCCATTTTCCATAGTCCTGACTTACAGCTCCCGCCTCATATACCTACTTTCACCAAGACAACACCCGCCGGTTGCCACTGCTTTTAACGAGGCTCTTTTTCAGTAGTAGTACATTTTTTTATGGATGTCTTTTGAGACCTGCCTGCACCGACTCTTCCACTTGGAGCCTTACGAATTGTTTTGGTCATTCGACATCGCGCGTTTACTATAACTTATATAATTAACAACACAATAAAAAAGGACACACAGAAACTGAGATATACACAAGACATAGTTAGTTTTAAATGAATTTGGGCACTATTGTATGCTGATCTCAAATTATACATCAAATCCAAAATTCTAGTGCAAAATTTTTTTTCTCTCTTTTATTTAAGTACGCGTTTGACGTACGTCATCGTTTTTCCCACAGTACATAACATTTTACTTGACCACCGTACACTTGTACAGTTTAAGCTACACGGTTTCCTTATTAAAGTTTCCCCTACTCGTGGGTTCCAAAATTGTGACACGTCCAATTTGCACGGCTATAAATTTCTCCATTCTTGTATCCAACGTTATCCTAATAGTACTCAGGTTCGTTCGTTCGCTTCGGCAATTTATTTACCTACATTATTAATTTTATTTTATTTAGCGTATCCGCGGCAAATTTACGTTACAAAAGTTACAATGAATGAATATGAAAATAAAAGAGAGAATACAATAAAACTAATTCGTTATCTACTTTACTATCATACTACCTTATACTTATTAAGTTCCAGTACTAATTTATGTTACTTAGTTTGTCACTTAATAGTCATTGGCATATCAGGTATTATCGAGTCCGTCCGAGTGAGTGAGGTTATCGAAGACAAAACCGTCGCCTCTCCACTAGACCACTGGGGGAGAACTCAAACTGCGGCAACACACTTGTGTTTTAATATTTATTTCGCCATCTAGTTTCAAACTAAGCAGAGCTTGTACCATGAAAGCTAGATTGGTGGATAGAATACTTATATACACTTTTTTTTTTTGTAAATACACACATATTATACCTAGAAAACACCCAAACTCCGAAACAAATATTTGCAGATCATACAAACACTTGGTCCGATCCGGGAATCGAACCCGAGACCTGAGCACATCAGTCGCATACGCTACCACTGCACCACCGAGGCAGTCAACTTGTGACTCTTTGACTTTCAGCCTGCAGTTGTCCCATACCATAAAAAAACTCACATCTTTCACTGTTATCAACAAGCTTCGAATCTTATCAGGCTATGTTCAAAACTCCTAAATATGTGTTATCTCTGGATTGTTTAAAGTATGTATTATGTACGCCATAGATAAGAAAATGATGTATTCAAGACGCAGGTTATGGAGCATATGAATGATACAAAGCTTTTGGCTGTAAATCTTAGAAAGTTTTATTTTGAAGCCGCGTTTCTACAGTAGTTGTGTATTTTGTTTATTTCAAATATTTCTTTGTCAGTAAAAAAAAATCGCGATGCGATTGACCTTTTGAGCAATGTCTAGTTCTAGTCTTTTTTTTATAATACCAACGCAGCAAAAATGGTCGGCAAATATTTTCACAATATAAAATATAATTACACCAAAACTAGTTCTAGACGAATTAATATTTTTTTCAAACGGTGCCCAGTTAGAAACCATCTTATATAACTAACTAATTAATATAATAAAATAGTCCTAGAGCTGGCAAGAGGATAGGTACTATTTATAGCACTGTGCGTATAATTATTTTGAAATGTCAACATCGAGACCTCATTAAATATTAGCAGAACATTTTCAAATTCTTTCAAATTTTCTTCTCACTTTCAAATTTTTAAATGCTGTGTTAACTTATTTTAATATTTTCCGGTACCTTATTAGACACACCTTAGTCACCTGAATGATTTTTTTGATCTTTTTAAATGGCAAGACTAATAAATAGGGTATCACAAATTTTAGACCGAACGATACGAATCACAAATTTCATTAAGGCCTCATACACTGTCTACGAAATGCTACCAACTCTTTGTTCTCACTCGCAGCTCTACTAAAATCCGAACATTCCATATTCGGAACACTAATTTTCAGTAATATGCGTGCGTTATTTTTATGATACGACACACCTAAAATAAACCAACATCCTAGTTTGTTATAAAGATATAAATAAATTATTCCTTAATGGATTTACTGGTTGGAAGTTGCAGCATCGTGTTACGGATCCCGCGTTTGATGTTAATGACTATAAATCTTAGTAGAAAACTTATTAAAGCCATACAGAGAAGACCGGGGATACACATACTACATAATTTTCTTGAGAAACGGGACATATTGATTACTATCATAATCTAACTTTAATAATTCTTTTTCTTAATTCTAACAAATAATTTATGTTATAATTACAAATAGGCGTCTAGCATTTCTGAAAAACTCGGTTGGTCTTTTATCTGGATTTCCTTGCTTTTACAATACTGTTTACTTTTAAACTCATCTGTTCTTGTCTTGTTACGATTTTTTTTGGGATAGGCGCAATGTGTAAGCCAAAGTTTTTGGCTGAATTTTTGTATAACCGTTCTTCTGTAATCGTTTTCGGAAAGTGATGAGAGGATAATTGATTCTTCCTAATAATCCTAATAATCGGTAAAATATTGTAAAGACAGCATACAATAGTTGTACCTACGAATATTAAACGATACTGCTCGTGACAGATTTTAAAAGGTACTAGGGGATATCAGCATGTCCATCCTATGATTGGAAGGGCCAGTAAAACTATGACGTAAACAAGCCAATTTCAGCTCCTCTAGAAGACTTTTAAAAAGATTTTATTATGTTCGCACTTATCCGTGTGTGCCACTTATCTGTGTCACTACCCCTATTTATCAACAAAACAACAGCACTGCAAAAAGAAGGAAACCGTGAAACAAACCCTATACCACCTCATCTGGCCAGCGTCTTATGGTACTTTTTTTAAGGAGAGGCCTATGTCAGTAGTGGACTAGTAAAGGCTGTTAATGGTGATGATGATGATTGCACTTGAAAAGAATTGCATTCTTTGAAAAATTATGAATTTATTTTACACTATTCGTGTATCTAGAGACATTAGGGATATCGATAATGACTTTATACATTAATCATTTCTCCGGGTCTATGTCAATGTGTGTTACTAGTGACAACTCAACTGTTTGTTGTCTTAGTTAAATTTGAATGTAAGCTTGTCACGCACCGCATACGGATATAAAACGTGGGGTGAGCATCCGATGAAGTGTACATCCTGTTGTCTATTAGCTTATACAGCGTGTTTAATATATATCGCAGGTACGTTTTAGGGAATTAAAATCGATTTAGTTGAAGTTTTGACTGGATCAATATAACAATTCTAATCAGTACAGTGATCAAAATTGTTTACAAAGTAGATCTACCTGTAGGCTAAGGAATAATATTATTTTGGACATCTAACACTCAACGCCATCTAGTTTTAAACTAAGCAGAGCTTGTACTATGAAAGCTAGATTAACTGATAGTATACTAATATACTTTTACATAAACAAAGAAAACACCCAAACTTCAACACAAATATATGCAGATCACACAAACATTTGGTCGCATACACTACCACTGCGCCACCGAGGCAGTGCCGAGCCAAGAATGTTTTTAGTTGAATAATAATAATATTCAAATAATAATAAATAACTTAAAGACTAACACACAGGTAGAACCTGTACCATAGTAATGCTGATAAACATACTTATAAATTTCTAAATACTACAGAATATTATAAATAGATTATACACAGACATACATAGACAAAGACCAAATGATCGTGCTCATTACATAACTATTAGTCTTGAGTGGGAATCGAACCCATGACGATCGTACACGCAATGACTATCAAGAAATCCATTAGTTGGGATATCGTGTACAACATTTGTGTCTATCACACAATTGTTTGTTCTTATGATGGAAATTGGAATCACAAACCACTTACCCATTAGGCTAGTCTTCTGTACAGTACTACATTAAAATGTATTCTAAATAGATCTACTTAGCCAACTATACTTTTCTTATACATATTAATTCAAAACAAACCAGCATTACTAATGGAACGTAATGTTTAGTCATTCTCGTCTTAATCCATGAAATAGATACTTAAACATACTAGTTAATAAATATTGAAAGGTGAGACACAGGTGAAATTTATTCAAAAGTTGATCAAAATTAGGTTAAGTGTGTACCACCTAAATATTGCTGTACTGCTGTAGTTTGTGTAAAATAATAGTTTAAAGGCCTTTTATGAAAATAAAAGTTTCACATCACATCACACATCAACAGCCTTTAATAGTCCACTGCTGGACATAGGCCTCTCCTTGGAAAGGAGGTTAAAAGTTTAAAACACAAGTTTTAAAATAAAAGTTTATTGATACTACATATATTTAATTTTATCTTACTTGTATTGGTATGTCTATGCACGTTTATGTATGTAAACATTAGTTAATATACGGAAATTGTAAAATGCGCACCACACGCTACATATTACTATTATAGTATAGTCCATCTAAAGGTTGCCTAGAAAAGATCGCGGACTGTGATAAGGCCGCCCATTGTACTCGTAGCACTGTTTTTTTATG